ATTGTAGTTTTGATTTGCATTTCTCTAATGGCTAATGATCGTCAGCATTTCCTCATGTGTCTTTTAGCCACCTGAATGTTTTCTTTGGTGAAGTGTCTTTTCATATCCTTTGCCCATTTTCTAATTGGATTATTTGTCTCTTTTGTTGTTGAGGTGTTTCAGTATCTTGTAGATTTTAGAGATTAGACCCTTATCGGATATGTCGTAGTCAAAAATTTTTCCCCAGTCTCTCTTTACTTTTGGTTATGTCTTTTGATGAGCATAAGTGTTTGATTTTTAAGAGCTCCCAGTTATCTAGTTTCTCTTCTGGTGTTTGTGCATTGTTAGTTATGGTTTGTGTACTATTTATTCCATGTATTAGGGCTCCTAACGTTGTCCATATTTTTTCTTCCATGATCTTTATCATTTTAGATTTTATATTTAGGTCTTTGATCCATTTTAAGTTAGTTTTTGTGTATGGTGTGAGGTATGGATCCTATTTCATTTTTTTTACAGATGGATATCCAGTTATGCCAGCACCAATTATTAAAGAGACTGTCTTTCCCCATTTAACAGCCTTTGTGCCTTTGTCAAATATCAGCTGCTCATAAGTGGATGGATTTATGTCTGGGTTCTCAATTCTGTTCCATTGATCTATGTATCTGTTGTTGTACCAGTACCAGACTGTTTTGACTACCTGGCAGTATAAAAGTTTCTGAGATCAGGTAGTGTGAGGCCTGCTACTTTGTACCTCTTCTTCAGTAATGCTTTACTTATCCAGGGCCTCTTCCCTTTGCATATAAAGTAGGTGATTTGTTTCTCCATCTTGTTAAAAAATGCTTTTGGAATTTGGATCAGGATTGCATTGTACCTATAGATGGCTTTGGGTAGAACTGACATTTTCACAATGTTGGTCTTCCTATCCATGAGCACGGTATGTTTTTCCACTTATGTAGCTCTCTTTTGGTTTCTTGCAGTACTGTTTTGTAGTTTTGTTTTGTTTTGTATTTTAATAGGTCTTTTACATCTCTGGTTAGATTTATTCCTAAGTACTTTATCTTCTTGGGGGCTATTGCAAATGGTATTGATTTGGTGATTTCCTTTTCAAAGTTCTGTTTGTTGGTATAGAAGAATCCAACTGATTTTTGTATGTTTATCTTGTATCCTGATACTTTGCTGAAATCTTCTATTAGTTCCAGTAGTTTTCTTGTGGATTCTTTGGGGTTTTCTGTGTATAAGATGTGCGATCAGCTGTAAATAGGGATACTTCTTCCTCACCAATTTGGATGCCCTTTCTTTCTTTTTCTTGCCTTATTGCTCTGGCTAGGACCACCAGCACAGTGTTGAATAAGAGTGGTGATAAAGAGCATCCTTGTCTGGTTCCCATTCTCAAGGGGAATGCTTTCAGTCTCTCTCCATTTAGAATGATGTTGGCTGTTGGCTTTGTATAAATGCCCTTTATTATGTCAAGGAATTCGTCTTTCATTCCTGTTTTGAGACTTTTTATCAGGAATGGGTATTGAACTTTGTCAAATGCCTTTTCTGCATCAGTTGATAAGATCATTTGGTTCTTTTATTTATGTGATAGATTACATTGCTTGATTTTCTAATGTTGAACCATCCCTGCATACCTGGTATGAATCCCACTTGGTCAGAATAAATTATTTTCTTGATATGCTGTTGAATTCTATTGGCTAGAATTTTGAGGATTTTTGCATCTATGTTCATGAGGGATATTGGTTTGTAATTTTCTTTTTTTGTGGTGTCTTTACCTGTCTTTGGTATCGGGATTATGTTGGTTTCATAGAATGAGTTTGGGAGTATTCCTTCCTTTTCTATGCTCTGAAATACCTTTAGTATTACTGGTGTTAACTCTTCTCTGAAAGTTTGGTAGAATTCTCCAGTGAAGCCATCTGGGCCAGGGCTTTTTTTGTTGTTGGGAATTTTTTTTATTACCTCTTCAGTCTTTTCTTTTGTTATGGGTTTATTTACTTTTTCTACCTGAATTAGTTTAGGTAGATAGTGTGTCCATTTCTGTAGGTTTTCAAATTTGTTGGAGTACAGTTTTTCATAGTATTCTGTTATGATCCTTTTTATTTCAGTTGGGTCTGTTGTGATACCACCCATCTTGTTTCAGGTTATTTGCTTCCGCTCCTGTTTTTTTTTTTTT